GGGAGGAGGGTGTGAATGGAGGGCAGGGACAAGGGGAAAATATGAGAACCAAGACCTGTCTTGTAAAGGTACAAGATCCCACTGTACCTTTACATTTTACATTGTCATAAGTGTTGGCTAACGGGATTAGCACAGGAGAATATTTAAAAGGAGGTAATGAAGAGGTTCTCGGTGGGGATAAAGCAAGAATAAAAGGTGGAAAATCATTTTGATTTAGACTGCACAACTGTCAACAAAGGCAGAGAGGAAAAATGAATCAGATGTACCTAAAATGTACCTAAAATGCACCAATAAACTCAATGAGAAAAAAAAATTTTTTTCTATATCACTAGGTTTTAGTTGTGTCCTTGTAAATAGCACATGGTTGGAATTTGTATTTTTTTTTCTGGTAATCTGTTTTTCCTAACCATTCTTTGTCTCTTTTTCTCTCCTTTCTCACCTTCTTTCAGATTCACTGAATATTTTGAAAGCATTTTGCCCTTTCCAATGGTTAGAAAGTTATACACCCTATTTCTATTCTTTAGTAAGTATTATCAAACTTACAACATGTTGTCAGCCAAGCATGCTGGCATGTACATATAGTCCCAGCTCCTTGAAAGCTGGTTGCCTGCAGATCATTTGAACTCAGGAGTTTGTGGTCAGCCTGGGTATCATAGTAAGATAGCAAGATACTGTTTTGAGAAGAAAAGAAAAAAGAAAAACAATGACTCTGCTCCATCCTCTCCTCCTTGAATTTTACGTGTATGTCAGACCTTATATATTTTTTTCTCCATGTCTCTGAACTTTTCTCTGGTATTTCATATCTAAAACTAAAGTTTGCTTCCTTGGTCCATCCTGGTTGGTATAGGTGGCTCCACGGCTTACATTACCTCCCTAGCTTTTTGCCTTATCCTCAGCTTTGGACTGACAGTTCCTTTCTATCTTGTCAGCTCTTTGACATGTTTAAGAAAATGCTTCTAATATTTTATTCTTGATTTTTAATTGTCTTTCACAGGAGGTTTGGTCTGAATAAACTAACCCATCTTATTATTAAAACACTGAAGACATTTTTGTCTTTTTTCTGAAATATTTGCTGTATCAAGTTTTTAAGCAGAATTCAAATAGAAATTAAATGTTTTTACTCACAGTTTCCTGATTCATTTTTCCTCTCTGCCTTTGTTGACAGTTGTGCAGTCTAAATCAAAATGATTTTCCACTTTTTATTCTTGCTTTATCCCCACCGAGAACCTCTTCATTACCTCCTTTTAAATATTCTCCTGTGCTAATCCTGTTAGCCAACACTTATGACAATGTAAATAGCTCAAAGGCATAGAGCTCTCCAGTAGACTTGAGAAACAATTATCTTACCTCTTGTTACTCAGGTCAAAAATGTTGCATAGCAGCTATGAAATACTCAAGTTTTGTCAGTTAACCAAAGATATAAGAGAAAAACTCTAACTTAGACCTCCCTGCAGTAGTATCAGGTTATTTTCTCCCCTTTAAATCTTATTTTTAGTTGTTCCGTATCTAAAAGATTTATCATTTAATAAAGGTCATGCTGATGATTTACATTTTTAAAATATGATGAGAGGACATTGGTTAATGGAATTGAAGAGATCAAGAACAATTTCTTTAAGTGGTTTAAGCAGCCTTGGCACAGAGCTTGTGTCCCTAGACATTTCCATTTATTTACATAGGTGTCTGTAACCTAAAAGGTGGCCCTGAACCAAGATGAATATGAGATAATCTTTTATGAGTGATTATTTAGTGCCAAGGTCTATGTTCTAATGTATAAATGCTAGCAAATAGTTTCCTTTGTAATTGACGCCATCTTACTGCCCATCCTTATCACCTTAAAGTCTTGCTAAGAATTAATGGCTACTCAGTTCATCTTTGTTGATGACCAACATTGCACTAAACTTATCCTCTTTTTCTCTCCTTTCTCACCTTCTTTCAGATTCACTGAATATTTTGAAAAGCATTTTGCTCTTTCCAATGGTTAGAAAGTTATATGCCCTATTTCTCTTCTTTAGTAACTATTATCAAAGTTACAACATGTTGTCAGCCAAGCAAAAGATGAGGAAATAGTGTAGCTGAAAAAGGTAAAAAGAGTAAGGGTTTCAAAGTCTAAAGATTTCTCTTTTGATTACTGACCCCAGAGACCTGGTGACCTAGCAGGATACTCTCAGTTTATATAGAAAGCAATAGGAGCTATGTTATTTCAAATGCTGTAAAACGTCTTCTATTTTCAAATATATTTTCAGCCTTGAGGAAATATATTCCACTTGAAAACTGAAAGCAGTTGTTTGAGTGGCACCCAGTCTCTAGTAAGTTCTTGATCCATATTCTCCTTTCAAGATGATTGCTGGGCTCATTCTTCATTCTGGCCTTTCCTACCCTCATTTGGGAGTTGAGTGCCTGCTCTCTTCAGTGTAGAGGCATGGCTTATTTTGATCATAGGCCCAAGTCACAGCACATAATAACCAGGCACTCTGTATACTAATTTAACTCAGACACCGCTTAAGTCATGCCCTAGTAGTTCACAAAGAATAAATTTACAGAAATTCTGAAATTGTATAATAGCATTCTGAATTTGTTGAATTATTTCACCCAATGGAATAAAATCTTTTACTTAAAAGGTGACAGATTCTCAGGAGTCTGGTATTGTGGCCTAGGGGTTTGCAAAAGAGCCACATGACCCATCCCCTAGAACATACTTTGCCTCTTCCTTCCTCTGTAGAATATAGGTTTGAGGCTAGGTATATTCTAAGGTCCTTTCCAGATACAAACTGCTCTGATACTTTTCCCAGAGCCAAAATTAGATACTTGTGCATTAAATCTTCTAAGTCAGTGCTACCAATTCCAGATAGAGTGAAGCCTAGGCATTTGTACAGAAGAGAGTTTTTGTAGAACTTTAATTCACTAAATAATGGCTTTTTAAATAAAAGTACAGTGCTTTGGAGGTAGAACAGAGTTCAGAAACTTAAAATATATACTAATTTTTAAACTTTTTATTAAAACTTCTGATGACACACATAAATATATAACTCAGGAAGTGAACACACCCATGTAACCAGCATGCAGAATATTACCTGTACCTCAGAAGTCTCTCACTTTGTTCATTTCTATGATTATTGCAACCCCCTCCCTTCCAAATGTAACCACTTTCCTGACTTCTCACTGCATTGATTTTGCCTGCTTTTGTTTCTCATATGAATGGAATCACATATAAATGCATTCTTTTATGTAGCTTTCTGTGGCTAACATTATGCTTCTAAGGCTCATCAATTTTGTTGTGGGTAGCTGTAGCAGACACATTTCGCCTCCAGAGAGACATTGATATATCTTTGCATACCTGTATTAACATTCTCATTTGCGTGACTCATTTGGGAAGATCAATAATGTACCACTGTGAACAGAGAGAGGATAAAAATGTTCAAGAGGAGGGAAAAATCAGAGGCATTTGATAAATTATGAGCATACTGTATTAATACATAATACAATTTATTTATTTATTTTAAATGTAACCCTTCTTTTGAAGAAGAAGGACTCACCTCCTGATCTAAGACATTGTCATGCTATGTCAAGTGAGAATCATTGTCCTGGTGTTGATTGTGGCTACTAATTGAGTATTTGTTTTTGTTTTTTATTTTTATTGGTACCTGGGATCAAACTCAGGACCTTGTACTTGTGGGCCAGGTGCGGTGCCACTGGGCTAAACCCCCGACCCCAGTTGTGGCTACTAAATGTCAGGATTCTTAAAGATTGCCAGCTTTACTTTGAGACTGAGAAATTGTGGTTCATTTTCCACTTGTTTTTCTGGCTAAAATCACCTTAATCCCTGAACTCATGCTCTTTAGTCTGCACCGTTGTATGTATCCAGTCACCTTCCAAACACATGAGACAGTTGGAGGACATTTTAAATCTAAACCATCATCCTGAGTAAAGTCACTATATATTCAAATTTTCCATGCATGGAGCCTCTAAAATCAAGAAGAAAATGATCACCAACCTAAGGAAAATACTAATATGCACAGTGTCTGGATGGAAGGTTGCGGTGTTGTTGGATTCCTGGATAGTCTTGACTAGGAGCTCTGTTAGCTGAGAACACACAGCCTGATCTGTTGTGGCCCTCTGGCTGTGCAGAAGGAATATGCTCAAGTGCTCCATCCTTCACTGTGCCTGAGGCTGCAAGTGGATTGTGATTTCCTCTCTTGGCACCCCACAACAGCCCCCTCAGCGTGTTGGGTGCTGTCAGCCCATCATGAGGTTATGCTGGCCAATTCTTCCACATGGAGCAGAACAGATGCAGTCTTAGCCTTTGCGGTTCTGTGTGCTGAGCTCTTCCCAGCCCGTATCCTACCTCCACCACATGTATTTTCTTCTAGTTAACTCCTGCTCGGTCTTCACATCTAATTTGCTACATATTGGCTCTCAATAAATATTTGTTGAATGAATAAATAAGTTAATGGTAAGTGAGGCTTTTAAATTCCATTCTGATACCAACTTTGCTTTTTAAAAATGTTGACTTATTGACTACTAAAAATGTAAGCAGTGGTAAAATAAAATGCAAAAAAGAGAGAGTGCAGCATGCTCTCCTTTTACAATATGAGCCATAGATAGGGTGGATTATTTGGAAAATTCTGTGACCCCCCCTTTTGATTCTTAGCATAATTTTTGCTCAACCTCTATATAGTGTTACTATATATGCAACATTTTGGTTTTTAATTTCTTCTTTTGGTATTTGGTATGTGTTGGTATTTTCCATAAATACACACAGACTACCTTGCTTATCATGTAAAATATAATATCCTGGTGAGTGGCCTCTCTTAATACTTGTAAACATGGGCTTTGCTCTTATAGCCAGTGCCCACCTGGCATGGCTGATTCTCTGGAACTGCGGCAGTAATTGAAAGGAAGCGAGATGGCAGGTTGCCTTGGTTGAGGAATGACTTTTCAAGTGCTACTGTGTTGTGATTCTCATAGTGATGATGATCTGTTGTCCCCATATTTTATTCCAGGATGTTTTTCTCTGGTGGGCAGTGCAGCCATCTTGGCAGATCTGAACGACTTTTACTGACATTCAAGATATTCCTTGTCCTCATTTGTCTTCATGTCGTCCTGGTTACATCCCTGGAAGGTAAGGTGCCTGTTTGCCTTCTTTTTTTTTCTGTTTATCTGTTTGTGTGTATGTGGGTATTTTGTGTTTGTTTGTATAGGATTATTTTTAATATGGTAAAATACACAGAGCATGTTTACCATTTTAACCACTGTGAGTGCACACTTCGTTAGCATTTAAATACAATCACAGTTTTGTGCAGCCATCACTATTTTTCCCATTTCTAAAAATGTTTTCATCAAACAATTATAAACTCTACCCATTAAATAATAACTTCTAACCACTGCCATAATGTCTTGTTTTTGTCTCTAAATTTGCCTATTCCAGGTATCTCCTATAAATGGGATTGTAAATAGCTGTCTTTTTGTATCTGACTTACTTCACTTAATGTAATGTTTTCAAGGTTCCTCTATGTTTTAGCTATGTATCAGAATTTCTTTCCTTTTTAAGGCTAAAAATATTTCATTGTATGTATTGTCACATTTTGTTTATCCATTCATCCATGAGCAGATGAACATTCAAGTTATTTCTACTTTTTGGCTATTGTGAACAATGTTGCTATGTACAAATATCTGTTTGGTTCACTGCTTTCACTTCCTGGGGTGTATATCTAGGAATGGGATTGCTGGGTCATATGGTAATTCTGTGTTTAACTTTTTGAGGAAGTGCCAGATATTTTCCGCAGTGCCTGTGCTATTTTACATTCCTGCAAGCAAGGCAGAAGGATTCCACTTTCTCCACATCCTTGATAACACTTTTATTTTCGCTTGTTTTGATGATAGGTATGAAGTGGCATCTCTTGTGGTTTTGATTTGTGCATCCTCGGTGATTAGTGATGTTACTATCTTTTCATGTGCTTATTGGCCATTTGTATATCTTTGGAGAAATATCTGTTTCTTTTTTTTAAATTGAACTGTTTCGGTGTTTATTTTCTTTTAGCATTTCTTTATATACTCTGGATATTAAGCCTTCATCAGATATATGGTTTGAAAATATTTTCTCCCATTCTGTGCACCATTTTTGCACTTTCTTAATAGCGTTCTTTTCATGTATAAATTTTTAAACTTTTAATCAAGTCCGAATTATATGCTTTTACTTCCGTTGTATATGCTTTGGTGTCATATCCAAGTAATCATTACTAGACCTGTTGTCAGGGAGACTTCCTCCTGCATTCTTCTAACTTATGGTCTTAGCTCTTGCAGTTAAGTCCCTTGATCCATTTAGAGTTAATTTTTGTATATCGTATAAAGGTCCAACTCTACTCCTGTACTTGTGGATAACCAGCTATCCCTGTACCATTTGTTGTCCTTTCCCCTTTTGGGTGGTTTTAGCTCCCTTTGCCCAAAATCAATTGACCAAATATATGTGGATTTCTTTTTTATGTTTATTTGTTTTCAAAAGTATTTCCATAGGGAAATTTAAGGGTGTTACAGAATTAGCCAAATGAAGCAGCATGGTATTTTCAGAAAAAGGAATCTTTAGAAGCTTATGAAATAAGAAATAAAGGTACCTAAGCAAGGCAATAAAAAGGCCAAGAATCCTAGGGCTGCAATTTCTGTGAGTACAACTGCTAAAAGAACAGTGTTTACAAATGTAAAGAATACTCATTACGCATTGGACTAGGAAATGATTGCTATTTAAAAAGACATTATTAAAGACACACAAAGAAATACTGGGACCAAAGAATCTTACTTGGGTAAAACAGAAATCTAGCAGCAAACAACAAATACACACACACACACACACACACACACACACACACACACACACATCTGCAGGCAAAATGATAATCTTCCCAACATGCTAAAATACAATCGGCAAGTCTTCAAATGTAGGCATATGGCCTTGTTGTCAAGAAGCTATCATGCTTTAAAAAAAGAAATGATAAAACTCAGTGTGTACTGATGGCCAAGTCCCTATCCACTTTCCACTTGTCTACTCTTAACTTTCTGAACCAGATCTTTGAAGGGGAGATTCCAGTCTTATCCCCATTTTCCAGATGAGGAAGCAGAGGCTCAGAACTTGCCCAAGGTTGTTAACCTTGCAAAGTAATAGAACGGGGATTTGAACCCAGGGATCTGGCTCTAGGTTTTGTGCTTGTAACCACACAACCAGAGTTCTCAAACGTGAGTATGCATCAGAATTACCTGGAAGGCTAATTGAAACAGATCATTGAGCTCTTTGCTCCAGAGTTTGTGATTTAGTAGATGTGGGGCAAGACCTGAGAACTGACATCTCTAACACACTCTTAGGTAATGCTGATGAAACTAGTTTAAGGATGACCCTTTGTGACCACTATTTATATAACTGTTGGAAGATATATCATGATATATAAATTCTGTTGGGGCCTTGTGACATTCATGTAAATTATGCTTACATATCATCTCCTTGGAGCATTAAAACATCACTGTGGAATTGGCAGGGCAAAAATCAAGTGTCTCTACTTATGAGTAAATATCCCTGGGAATATTATGGGTTAGGAAGTGGTGAAGTCCAGACAAGATACCAGATCTTTGGTCTTGTGTTTCAGAAAATTATGGGTTGGGAAGTGGTGGAGTCCAGACAAGATATCAGATCTTTGGTCTCATGTTTCAGTACTTTTTTCCACCATAGGAGTAGTGGAATACAAAGGAAAAACTTAATCAGAAAGCTGTTCAATAGAAATAAGGCTTTCGAAAAATTATTATCTAAAAATGATGAAAACACGGGCGAGTAAATAGGAAAGTGTCGAGTGCTAAAGCAATCCTAAGTAGAGAAAAGCCGAGTGGTCATTTAAGGCAGATGAATGTATTTTTCACTCCATCTTTCTGATTGTGTTAGTCAGCTTTCCATTATTGAAACTAAATACTTGAGATAATCATCTTAAAAAGAGAAAAGGTTTATTTTGGCTCATAGTTTTGGAAGTTTCAGTCCATGGTCAATTGGCTGCTTTGGTTTTGGGCCTGTTGTGGGCAAGCACACCATGGCAGGGAGTGGTGCAGGAATCCTGTTCACCCCATGGAGAGCTATAAAAAGAAAAAGGAAGAGGAAGAGATTGGTGCCCCGCAGTCCCTTAAAGGGCACACCCCTAATGACCTAAAACCTCCTATCAGGCCTCCTTTCTTAAATGTTTCCACCACCTTCCAATAGCACCAACTTGGGGACTGAGCTTTTAATACATGGACCTTTGGGGAGCAGTCCAGATCCAAGCTAGAGCATTGATGAATTGCTTTCTTAAAGCAGTAGTTCTTAAAAGTGTGGACTCCAGACAAGTAGCATCAGCATCACCTTGGATTATCAGAAGTGCAAATTCTAGCCCCCACCCTGCTGCTGAATCAAAAACTCCAGGGGAAGGGCATCAAGCCAGTCCTCCAGGTGATGCTTTTGCATCCTCAAGAGTAGAAGCATTGGCTGAAAAGAATTGGCTAACACATTACTGCCTGCAGTATGCTAGAGCAGAAAGCTGGAGAGATCTGGGGCTAGAACCCTTCCCCCTTGCCTCTCGCCTGTCATGGTTGTGATCTTAACTTGCCACGTAACCAGTGTGATCATCTGTTTCCTCATCTTCCCAAAAGGGGAGCTGTTGTAAAATAAAACAAAACAATAACAAAAACAAACAAACCAAAAACCCCAGAACAACAACAAAAAACTTACGAAGGCAAGGTTTTCCTCAGTTAAGTGTTTCTGGGATCTCAAAAGGGCTAAATAGGGGTTCCTTGTTGTCTCTCAGAACTCCAGTAAGAGTTCATGTTATTTAGTGATGTCTTGGAGAGTACTCACCACATGCCAGCCACCGTTCTAAGAACTTCTAAAAGGCTAACTCTTATAAAGCTCACTTAATAACCCTTTGCAATAGTCACTGTTATTACCTCATTTTATGTATGAGAAAACTGAAGCACAGGGGAGCTAAGCAGTTTGCCCAAGGATAAACAATTAAAACTGATTGCAGAATTGTGGTTCAAACTCAGGCCCTCTGGCTCCAAAGTTCTGATTATTTAGCATCTATGTTATATTGTCTTTGGCATTTTTTTCTCTTTTGCAGTACTGGAGATTGAACCTAGGGTCTTTGCACTGAGCTAAATTCCCAGCCATTTTTAAACATTTTGAGGCAAGGTCTCACACTAAGTTGCCTGGGATGAGTTTGAATTTGTGATCTTCTGCCTCAGCCTCCCAGAGTGCCTGAATTATAGGCATTCGCTATCACACCCAACTGCCTTTTGACATTCTTAACCACTCTGCTATGCTAGGCTCAGTTGCTTGGTGGTTGTACACCTGCAGAGTAAAAACGATGGAATTCATAATTGTGAGATTGCTCAGAGCCACCATTTCCCTGGGTAACTTTGGACTGAGGCAGGTTATTTGCAGTTCAGAATGGCGTGGATCCAGTCTTTGATGAACACTGAAGGCACTGACTTGCCGCTTCAACAGTTATCAGTTGTACAGTAATGAGCGCCTGCTGTGTGTCCTGAAGTCCTGGCTGGTGAGAGAATATTGCAGTCTCTGACTCCAGCAAACTGGTGAGATATAACTACAGTGCATGAGGACAATACAAATATAACTGAATCCTAAAGTATTAGCCAGTGCTGAAGGGATCTAATACATAGCCTTTGGCCAAATCTGTGGATTTATCTAATGCTAAGCCCCCTATACCAGGTGGTATTGATGCCCTGCCCATATTCCCTTGGCAGAGGTCTACCTGTGGATAGTTCCTGTGGATGTGGATGTCTTTCATGTCTCTCTGAAAGTGATCTATTCTCCTGGGATTGGACTTGTGCATGGAACAAGTCGAAATTCCAAACAGTTAATACTCCAAAAGGGTCAGGGATGGAGTTAATGTTTACTATCTTCCTTGTCCCTTGGTGGGACTATGCTGAAAAGTGTTCTTCATCATCTCCCAGAGTTTCCCAATTGGATTGTGCCCAGGTGCCCATGGTAGTCATTTTCGCATTAATGTCTCCATTATTGGTTTTACTCCCTTACTTACCTCAGCTTAAATTTTGCCTCCCTCTGCTTGGGGTCATCTCTATTTGGAAACACACTCA